TTGTAAAACACAGTAAAACAGTGTAAATGTGCAAGATAATCAGGGAAAAGAGATACCGTGTCCACATGTAAGCAATCCAGGTTGGGGATGCATCCAAGTTCCTTTTGGACTTTACATGCTACATGTGGGATGTCCTCTCAGAAGTCTTTATTTCAGCCCCCACTTTAGCCGCGTTTAAAGCACATGTCAACAGTGCAGTGACCATACTACACTATATCATGTAATCCAAAGGACCCATACAAACAGCAGAAAAACAAATCAAATCACTTCCATGTTTCCAGGAAAGCGCAAACAATAGCCTTAGATAATACATAGAGCAAGTGTGAACTGCTCCGACGGAAAAAAATTGTAACCCTAAAGTTCGCAATTTGTGGTGCTTCACTATTTCCTGTTGCTATTTTTGCTTCCATTTTGCACACCCCTAACCGATCATCCGGTGGGACATGTTAACCTTCGGCTTTTTTTCTCCGCAATATACCATTGATGTGGAAAGATGTTGGGATAGAATCTCAGCAATATGGACTAAACATGTGGAAGGCGATCCTACAAACTGTAATCTTTATCACATCCACAATCAGATGACAGTTACTTGCGTAGACAACAGACTATGGCGATTGGTAGATGTGATCAATTTTGGTATCGTCGCTGTCATGAGTTGTGTGATTGGAATGAACCATGCAGTTCAGTGGTGTGACTCAGCCGCTGTCAGTCAGTTATGCACCCCGATGAGTGCTAGAATATTAGAGATAATTAGAATTAATCCACAATTAATGAGACATCCTAATACGAGGGCTGACTAAAAAATAATCAGAAGGACGTTATGCTTCTGTTTATTTAGCAAACTTACAGTTTATCACATCTAACCACAGTAAGACAGCCGTCACGCACCCGGAAAAGAAATGTGGGACAATTTCATCCCTTCAGAAATCGTCAGTAGTGCGCATTCCACCCGACCATTGAAGGGCTCGAACCCGCAACTCGATTGTTGCCAGTTTGTGGTTGAGACCACTGAGCAACGGTGGACGGCAATGCTCGTCGTGACTAAATTATGATGTGATATAGCGCCGCTTACTATCCACTGACTTGTGTGTTACTGTCGTGCAGAGTACAGGGTAGCACCCTCCCCCACCAAGCGAAACTTACCAAAATTAGGCCGCAAATAAACAAGTGGCATTACAAGCAGTTTGATATGCGCACTGGTTACACGGGAGTGGTAGAGTGAGCGGAATGGCATAAGTAGAAGTGTGCCTTATCTGGACTCAATCAGACAACTAAAAAAGCCCAGAAAAGTACTGTACGGTCGTTTCTTCCTGTCTGGAATAGTTAACACGTGAGCTTCTAATTGTACCATTCAAATCCCATACTACCCCATTGTAAACATACAGTTACTTACCATCAATTACGAAAGCTGACATTTGTGACTCCGTTCCTTCCACTAGTGAAAACACTGCCACACTTCTCTTGCCATTAGATCAAGCAGCAGCATCGCCATTTCCATCCGTATCTCTCTCACCGTCACATAATGAGTACATTTAGCGTCAATGCGATGCTCGGATATAAAACAGAAGCTCCCTATTCGAAACCAGGGTAATGTCAAGATTGCACGTATTACTATGCTTTTAATGTGCAAAAGCTGCTTCGTTGAAAAACCCATTGTGGGCAAATGTATTGTCCAAGTGTAAGATCTAACCGTTCTTGCAAAACGCCATACAATTCTAACTCAAATATTCATGCAATTTTTCTAAGAATTGTTGATAAAAGTTTCCGCTAATTGACTGTTTAGTTGGTACCCATTCTGTAAATAAATGTTTCAGAGGTATCGAGAAAATCCTAAGCAGTACGTCGAATCTTGCCTTTGAGGAAGCTGGTGATTTTTAATGCATTGATCTCTGCTTGCTTTCGGAATCAAACGTAAATACACACGTCTCATGGGCTACAATTACGCTCTTCAGAAAGTTGAGTTCATCAACAATCATCCAGTACAAAAAAGTTTAAATAAACTTCTTTTATTTTCATCCTTTCGACTGACAAAAATATCAGCCCCATCTATATAAAAACGTTCCTCAGGTTCGACTCATTTGTTAAAATGTCTCGGACATTTCCGCTTTTCGCATGTAACAGTTTAATAACAACGGAGACAACCACTGGTCTTTTCGTAACCTGTCAAAATGTGACAGTTATCCTCAAGTATAGACGTGCGTTGAATTCCTGAAAGGTCATCTTTCAAAGAGAGTACACGTTTGAAATTCCCTTATGCCATACAAAGACACGTTTGTGTTTGTGCTGTAAACTCTACCTTTTCGAGCTAGGGTGATGTCGCGTCAGCGCCACAGGTGGCGGAGAGTGGCAAAAGTGTCTTGAGCTTTTGCTAAGCGATTTGTGACTTTGTCTTCTATTCCACAAGCGCTTCAGTGCAGTGAAAAGAGTCTACGTATTTAACTTTCTGGAAAAGGTATAGCTGATCACCACCAAGGGTCAGCGCAGGAGGCGGTCCCTGTCAACCTTGTAAAGGACTTTGCATTCCGAGGGTGTAAAGTATAGCCCGAAACGACCGACAGCCAGTGCTAACCTGTCCAGTGGGTAGCACTTTCGGGAGATGTGGTTCGCATAATCCAAGTCAATAAGTCGTCAAGAAGGAAGCAGCTCCACGTCTTCCAAGTCGTGTCAAATGGACGCAGTTTCCATGACTTCGTCAATGGCAAAGTTAAAGGGGAAAGGTGACAGCGGGCAACCTTGTCTCACACCGCTGGAGATACTGAAGGGGGGCTACCAGTTTACTATAAACCCTTACTGCTCGTACTACGCGCGTACAGCGCCCGGATAATGTTTACATATTCATCGGGCACCCTTTTCCTGAACAGACAGACCCAAAGGGCAGGTCGATCCACCGAATTGAAGGCACTTTTAATGGCGAGAAACACGACTACGGTGGGTCACCAATAAATATGGCAGTGTACCAACAATTGGTGTAATTTGAAGATGGGGTCAATGCAACCTCGATTTCGACGAAACCCGGCTCGCTTCTAACGAATCTGACTTTCACAGGTGCCAGGCAGTCTGTGGAGAACAACGGATACAAGCAATTTAGACTGATTCCTTTATAACTGCCGCATTCAGAACGTGAGCTTCCGGTTTCCTGCCCTCACGGCTTCACTAGTGTTGAAAACCATTCAAAAGAGCAGATGCACCGAATTTAGTAACGGCTGGAGGAAGGCATCAAATCAAAACAACGCTGACGTGCAGCTCACACACACAACAAATGCAACCTCGAGAGGAATGGTCGATCTCGGCTTGAAAAGTTGTCGAAGCTCCCATAGATCCATCAGAAGGGTCAAAGTGAAATAATCACCTGGGGATCACAAGCCCGTGCGGTGTCATTCAGTTGAAAACGGATGGGTATACAGTAGGCAGGGAAATAACACGATAGATAAAAGTAGTCAGCATTGTAGCCAAAGGAAACCTAAAGGAGGTGGATGTAACTCGTGGAGATGCATGAGATTGAAATAGATAGTCAACACTGTTGGCTCAATTGGTCAGTAGGCGATGAAAGCAGTACGATGCGTTCTCACATAGACTCTAAAGGAATAACCGGTAGGTGTTATCAAGAATTAACTGAGAGGGAAAAACGCAACTGCTGCACATGAGTGATAATTCGGGAATCAATATGCGACACTAAAGAGATCACCAGCAAACAGGGAAAGAGTAAAGTGAGCTCAGGCTTTAGTTAACTTGTTTTTTGTCCATTGATGAACTGAAGACATATTGTGTCGCGGCGTTGGTCACGAAAGGTGACGCGCAGACTTGAACACCAATTGTCCAAGGAAACCTAGTTTGGCTTGCAGGATGAGGGATATCGTAGAGTTGGGGAGGAGAGAGGGTACAACAATTGACTTGGTGAAGAGAAAGGAAGTTGCTGGGCACCAAAGTAGATGCTTTTGATCGGCCCTCTTTCAAAAAGAGGCCCATACAATCCCAACTAAGTACCAGACTAGAAGCATCAAAAGACAATATGGAACCAGCACTAATGGCATCTTTGCTTACGTTTGATAGCCTATCTACCTGCATGACGTGTGTATGGCGTTGATAGTTAGCAGTGAAATAAGAGTTGAAATGTGGAACAATAAAAGCTGATCCCACACAGTGGTCAACTGTTCGTGAGTGTACAATATTCGTAAAATTAAGGTACATCGATGCACAAGACTAGATCAAAACATTCAGCGTTCAAGTTGAATTTCTCCCCGCTCTTTTCCGTGTTCCCCCAAACAGCAAAAATATTCTTGCTGACTCCTGGTCGCATGACAGCGAAACGCTGATATAAGTGGTGACGATGCGAATAACAACTTGTAGCAACCAATGGAACAGCATATTGAACTATTGTCGCTAGGAATGTGTCAATAGAGTCACGGGGCGTGTGATGCGGATGAGCCACCTATGAGTACATCGAACAATGTTTACAATAATAACGACAGATGGGAAGCACGTAAGTCACTGGTTCGTAAAAGCTCGTCAAGTGCAAGAAAAACTACCAGTTACAGTCGGAGTGATCGAATTGAGCGAAGATCACTTCAATGCGCATCGCAGTCCCCAATGAGATCGCATCGCAATCCACCATTCACACAACGAGTACATCGAAATGACCCACCAATCACCGTTGTGACAAGCCTTGTTCGTCGTGACTCAGTGTCTTACGGGTAGCGATTTCGGATAACACCTCAATAGCCCCGGGTCCGACGTCTGTTATCTCTATCAGATGAGATCAAACAAGCGCGAAACGCGTAGCGGAATGCAGTGTTTTCGGTCGGGCAAGACCCAATTGCTACATGCTTCATCGTTATGCCAACATCTAACAAGAATAAGCAAGTAGACAGCTAGAAAACGGTTCGACTATCGACAGATGTATGTTCTTATAAAGAGGAAAATACAGTAATACAGTTTACACGCTAAAGTAAGCGCCAAACTTGAGGACAGTGGTGGCAAAGGCTGCCGAAGAGCGGACTTACGGCGATAACTGTCGGCGTCAGTGGGTGTGAGAAAGTCTTTCATGGCAACCGGATCGTAGGGTGAGTAGACGTCCGCCCAATCCCACAGGTCGTTCGACTGGACGGGTTCACTCTCCAAGCGCCTCATACTGTGAGCAACCACTGAACTCTTATGAGTGAGGCTACCATACAGAGAAGGATTTGGAGGGGGATCGGAACACGCGTACCATTCGTGTCCCATGGTGGCCGATTGTGTGAGGTTCAACGTTGGGGGATACACCCGAAGAAAGCCACCAGTGGATTCGGCCGAATCACTGTGGAAGAGAAAAGATGGTATTCGATAGATAGGGTGAGCAGGAAAAACTGTACAAAATGCGAGTACAGTATTTTCAGTCGGGAGCAGCTGGGATGATAATGTGAAGTGTAGTTAGCTGGCGTCATCGTGCTGCAGTTGACGAGAGCTTAAGTAACAAACCACCTGAGAATCGATGGCGACAAGCCAAAATGGTTTCGATAGCAATACTTTCATAAGGAGAAGTGCACTCATACTCAATAGCCAAGTAACACACAACTGAAAGTTTACGGCGGTAATATGTGAAGCCAGACTCGAAACCATGTTCGAATGGGAACGGTGGGGCATAGTTAGTGCATTCGCAAGTTGACCCAACGGGAGGGAGACAGGCGTGCAATTGTGAAGTCGTGATGGGGACTTCAAGCTGAGGCGCTATAATGACGAGGGCCATCGGGTGGCCGGTTGGATATCATGGTGTTGGGCTAAAAATGGTCAGATATCCAGTTATTTTCACCTACACACTTGACAGCCAAGGTATTACGAGCAACGCAGTTCGATATTAGCAGGCAATAATAATAATAATACGTGTATTTCCCGATTGTACGAGAAACTGTCCCTGGATTGTGGACAGATCATGGATACAATAATTATCGTGCTCATGCATGAGTGAGATATGTATCATGGGGTGTATGATAGCAAAATAATTTGTAATCATTTAACTTTGTTGTTGTTTTTTGTACCATCCTTAGTCATTGAGTATATATTCCTTGGTCCACCTTGGAAGAACTCGTGTGATGATTTGCCCGATGAAAACATGGTCAGTATCGTGTTCTGGTCCAGGAAGTTACTAACCTGAATGTGGAATGTTCTTGTATTTGTGCAAGACCTGATTGTTGCTGGTAGGCTGTTCCACACGACAGCGTGTCTGACGAAGAAGTTTGATCGGATAGCTGTCCTGGTTCTCGGCACATCTAACGTACAGGTTTTGTTGCGTATATTCCGAGTGAAGTTATGTTGAAATTTAAGTGTACACAGATTGGAGTATATCTTTTAGTTTATGTGAATGTGAATCAGTACCAGGTTATGTTTCAGTCGTAGCAACAAAAGGGGTTCGAGCTTAAGCTCTTGGCAGCGCTCCTGATAACTCAAGGTGGTTGATTTACTGAACTATCGCTTAGTGAATGATGTTTGCAGGTTTTCCAAAGCTTTTCTGTCATCCATACGCATGTTTCCATTAATGATGGTGCAGTATTCAAGGACAGGAAGTACAAGTATTTTGAAAAGCTCGAGTTTGGCAGGGGTTGTATAGATTTTATGGCATATGTTAGCCGCAGATCGTTTGGCACGTGCTAGTTGATACTCAGCTTGCTCTGAGGAACTAAAGTTGGAAGAGTATCGTATGGCTAGATCACAGATGGATAGTTTCACATAGATACGTTCAGTGTTCATTTTAACAGACACTTGAGGGATTGAACATCCGTGTGACATAATGCCTGATTTACTAGCTGGGAAATGTAACATCTATGTGTTGCACCATTTCTCGTGAAGCGAGGTCTTCTTGAACGAGCAGCAATGCGCTGTGGAGTTCCTCTCGTCGACATTTATAAACAATCTCTATGCTCTCGGCGAATAAAAATGGCATGCCGTTTTATGAACACCGTGATAGCGTTAATATAAAGTAGGAAAAGGGAAGTACCAAGTACACTCCGTTGGATGACACCACTAGTGATTGAACGTGGGGAGAAGTTATGATTATCCATAGTGACTATCTGGTAGCGCCCGTTTAGGTATAATGTCAACCAACCAAATAGTGGGTCGCTGATTTCAAATGACTCGATCCATTTCAGTAGCCGCTTGTGGGGCATCCTGTCGAATGTTTTCTGCATATCCAGAAAGAGTGTTGTTACTGCATATTTCGAATCAATGGCTACTGTGATGTAATCCAGGTAGTGCAACTGACGCATTGTACAATAACGTTTACCGAGGAACCATTGCTGGGATTTGTTAAGTAGCCCACGATTCCCCTTTTAACTATATTTTTCGTATAATCTAGCGATGACGAGAGTATGATGGATAGGTCGATAATTAGTAACGTGCTGTTTGGGCCCCGATTTATGACGAGGGACAATCAATGATGCTTTCCACTGATCCGGAAAGTAGCTAGATTCTAAGGACAAGGTGAACATGTTCAGCAAAAGCAGTGGTATGTCAGGTCTACCGAGTTTAATAACTGATGGGGGGATGTCATCGGAGTCTGGTTTGAGTGATGATTTGATGGACTTCATAGCCTGTTGGATGGTCGAAAGAGTAACCTCGACATTGTCTATGCCGCGTGTTGTAAGTTCCGGGCAGCAAGGTATAGGGTCGGTTTCTATGTTCATGGAAGCAACGAAAGAAGAGCTAAACGCTTCACAAATAGCATGTGGGTCGTTAAGGTGGCGACGCTCCTCATCAATAAGTTCCGTAAGCAAAGACATTCCATCGTTAGTCCTATGACGGAGTAATTTGGCCAGTTCCTTTCGTTTGCATGTCATCTGCTAGGTGTTCTTCTTCTTTTCAATCCGTTTCATTTGTGAGCGATTGATGCAGGCGGTGGACTTGTATAACTATAATACCAGTGAGAAATCTCTAGTTTTTGTAAATTTTCCGAGCGGTTTTCTCGTTTTCAGGTCACTCAGAGTGTCGCTTACATTCTTAGGACAAGGAATGGCGCGTTTATCAAATGGGACAAGTACAGTTATGATGCGATTGCAATGTAGGTGCTAGTGGAAAGAAAAAAAGCTATCCCAATTAGAGGACAGGATCAGCTTTCCGAAATGCTTCCAGTCAATCCTTCGTATAGTATGCTGGGTAGGTGAGTCAAGTTCGGTATTCATTTCCAAGTGGATGGAAAGGCGTAGCATCATGTGATCACTACCCGGAAGGTTGTCTAAGATGTCAATTTGTGCATCAGGAATCGCCGGGGTGAAGATTAAATCAGGTATGTTGGCAGATCTATTGGCCTGGTCTGATAGTCGATAAGAAAGATTTGTGCAATGATGAGGATGTTTGTGGTGGCCAAGTAATATTCAGTAGATTGAAATCGACAACGATTATCTTCAGACCGTGTAGTAACACCGATGGGAAATCAAAAGCTGAGGAGATAATTGCGATATCCTTAGCTGTCGCTTTCGGAAGGTTGTAGATGCAACTGAAAAGGAGGCTGCAGCGACTGATAGCCATAGAGATTCTGGGACATTGTTTAACTGTGGGTCATCAATGAACTCCACTCTGAAGTTCCGAAGGAGGTACACGATGCGCCGACCGCCTTTCTTCGTGCTGCGATCTTTTCGAAATAGACAGTGGTTAGGAATATCTAAAGTGGCATCCAATTTATCAAGGGAGCACTATGTTTCGGTGACGAAGATTTCATATGGGGTGCTCAGCTGAGTAAGCATGCTTACAAAATGTAACTGACCTCTTAAGGATCTTGTGTTAATTAGTATAAGTGAAAATGTAGTGTGTACAAAAACGTTTTCTGTGAGTACTTCAGAGGATTTGGAATCAGAAATGACAGGCAAAGAAGTTAAATAAGGGGGTGGTGGAAACAAACCCATCGGTGGAATGCTAAGGTGTAAGGGCATTGTTCCCGCTAGTAAGACAGGGTGGGCGGAAAAGATTGATGTACCGAGGCAAGGTTGGGGTTTATCTGATATCGAGCTAACCGTGACATGTGGATGAACTGCCAGAAAAGTGGAACAAGATAGGCTGTCTCTGCTGGGTGTGTCAGTGCTGGGAATGGATGCGGAGCCATTCCCGCTTCCGCTAAAAAAGAGTTAAGGTAAATTGATGGATTCTGACAGGTGGTATTGTCAGATATTCAACGTGTTCTTGGTTCTCAATTCTCTGTCTAGGGTTGTTGTAGACGGGAGGCTGTTAAGTACGCTGGCCTGTTGGGGTGTGGCAAATAGGTGCAGCCAAAAGATAAGTGTTGAGAGTTCTAATAGGCTCGAAGTGACGCGTAGCGATGCGATAGCAAGGCAGTTGTTGACATGCAGATTTGAGCGCTACTGACTTCCTTATAGCTGCGTATTTTGTGTAAATACCAGTCGATTGTATATTTGTGTTTACGACATCAGCACGCAAATCTGGGGGCGCATCTTGACGTTTGTAGCTGTTTCCCAGTGTTTTATTTGGTTCCCGACAGTCACTTGTTCGCCACATCTAACACTTCCTGTAGTGCCTAAACCGTTTGAGGTCGGAGCAATGAGCCCGCGGTCACGACTATTGGCATCTGTTAAGTGCGGTTATCGTAAAGTAAGCGTTGAGATAGAATGTGGGGCAGAGTTATTTGATATTACCGCCCCTAGATACGAATTGTCGAGATCCAGGTTGGTAGTTGCGCTTGTCACACTTATTGTGCCATTTTCATGTGAATCTGTGTGCGGCATATCAGCGTAGCTGTTACGGTTTTCCGGCGGTTTCGGTGTAATTCTGAGATGGGATCGTTGCAGAGGCGTAGGATTCGCCTTAATCAAAATATATTTGTACTGGGTACATGCAGTAATGATATGTTGGCTGTGCACTAAACAATCTACCAATTCTTCGCTTGAAAATTTAATAATGACTGGACAGCAATGCCACGGTGTTTTCTTTTTCAGTCGCAGACATTTACAGACGACATCGAACACGTTACCGTTGTCTTTACTTTGTTCAAACAGAATCTGTCTAGTATGTGAAAAGCAATCAAAGTTTTTACTTTACCGTTTCTTTCATGTACCTCTGATACGATGGAGTCGATTAGGTGACCTGCCTTTTGCGATGAACATGATACAAACTTATCAGATGATTTATACGTCATGATAAATAGACTGCTCCATCTTGAACGGACTGCCAAGTAAAGCGCCGCGAGCCAGCAAGCAGTGTATATGTTGGTAAGACACAGGTGTGGATGGGACTGCGAAAGAATGAGAGTGGCCCGTGACGAATGGGTGTGGGAGTCACCTGAGCACTAGGGAAGAGGAAATGTCGAGTAGCCTGACGAAAGCGTCGTAGCTTACTGCACGGCACAGCATGGATCGTCGTCAACTCAAATAAAAGAAAACGCAAGTAAACGAATTAATCACAAATGATAATAGTAGCGCAGCGGCGTCTTGATTGGGAAATTCCCTTGAAATATGCTCTCAATTGACACTTGAACTACAATTTTTCATTCATTTAAATGGCCTATCATCGTGGACGCAAGGACCGCTCGTGCACCGAACCACATCCTCAAGAAATCACGCTCTCAACCACCTTAGTGACCGTTCAATCCTCTGTACGCTCACCTTCTTGTCCAATGGATCGCACCTGGTTTACACTTTCATCCTCTCACTAACGATAGTTGAACTTATTTTGTTAATTTTGTTTCAGCGGTAACAGATAGCCCATGCACTAGGTCTGATGTCGCCAACTCGATAGAGTCGTAACATTGTTACCACAGCGAATGTAATTTCTGAGGCAGCAACAGAAACACACAGTCGAGAACTTGATCTTCTAACATAGGTGTTACAGGGGAAGCTGTTGAGCACAAAAGTGATTTTAAAAAATTTCAGTACCACAGTATCAAGACCGAATCGCAATCCATTATTACTTATGACCCACCTATCTGAACTGCTCTCGTCGCCTGAGTCCTCCTTGGCGATTTGAGCTGAAGGCGAGATCTTTTTGAGGGCAATTCTGGATTTATTTTGCCGTTTGGAAACAGTTTGTGAACCATTACTACTAGCGCTGATGGTGGACCTGGACTTGGCAGGAATTTCGTCAGTGGAAGAAGGGTTAAACATTCTTCTCTTTTGGAACTTTGAGGGGGACGAAGCGGACTGAACGGAGTCACGAGTGTTGGCTAAATTGGTGCAGGTGTTGCTAGTGGCAGGTGATTGTGGAGGTTCGGGCATTTCAGAGAGAGGAGGGTTAGAGAAGGAGTGATGTTTCGGAAAGGAGGGGCGATCCCTCATTGATGCATTTGGGAAGCCGAGGGAAGGAGTGGCAGCAGAAAGAAGAGCGTCAGATGAGCGAATTTGAATTGGTAGTTCCACCGAACGCATATGAGGTAGGGCATTTCTATCGATGGTTTGGTACCACGAAGGTTCGTACAGCTCGGCAAACCAATTGACTCTGAAAAGAGAGAAAAGTTGATTAGGTGCTAGAAGTGAGTATAGCGCATCCGGTGAAATAAAAACTGCAGGAGCCTAGACGAATATGCTTTGAGCTCAACGCATGTACAACAGCAGAGCAATGTTTCAACAAATACGGTCGCCTTAGGATGTCACAACACAAAATAAATGAAAAGCTAGTTGAGGTGGAGATGTCTTTCATACATGCTCGCTCGCATCACACCATACCAAGACCGGTTTCGACCTTATCTGGACTTTTTGAATGGAGATAGCTGGAGCTCAACAATGAAAGGCCGAGGTGTTCCATCGGCGGTGAAAGTTTTGGGTAAACTGTCCCCGCAGAACTGTGACGCTACTGGGTGACTGTTGGATTAGTCCGATGTATCAAAAAAGTGGATGCGTGTCGTGTGATTGCGAGGCAATGAGTACGCAAGCTTTCGTGTTGGATTCGTTGGGACTTGATGCAGTGTTTCTCGTATCTGCGCGCGCGTCATCTAGTAGCGCTGTAACGCACAACAAATATTTCACTTGTACCAGACAATCACAGGATGACCACCGAAGTGGCATACCAATTAAGGTGTCCAGGTAGTGGCAGCACCGCACGCTTACATCTTCACCTAGACATAATCCTCCATGTCTACAAGACGGTCGAAGAGGCGAACGGAACTTCTGAGACTGCTTCATTTCGGTCTTGTGATCACATTTCACTTTTCCATGCACGGTTTCACTGTACCAAAGAAGCTAAAGTTGAGCAACCATGAATCCCCAAACTAGCGCTTTATAGCACAACTTTTATTCCTTCTTCCCTGAGTATATAAATAAAGGCATCAGCAGTACACCGGTATGCAGTACCGACGCTTCAGCGCTGCGCAAACTCTACCGGTCGCACGTGGACTAAGGATACTGTGATTGGCGCCATGCCTCCACGCAAACTCGAACCAGGGCCGCCAGATTACGAAACGGCTACGGGCCGTGTGATCAGCAGGAGGCAGTATATATATATATATATATATATATATATATACGATTAGATTAGCAACTGCTCGCTTACACATGGAGACCTTTGGTCTGAGGTAGGTGGTTCCAGTGCATGTTTCAATACGAAAGGATTGCGCACCAAGATTGTAATCATGTGGTCGGCGGTTCGAATCCGCGTTCATGCGGGCGAGCTCGCGGTGTACCCCGCACTTGGGTGACTTTTGCTGGTTGCGTGGCAGCAAAGCGTCGCTACGGTGTGTCGGCATACTGCTGATGCCTTTTTCAGCACAAAACATCCGAGGAAAACGAAATGATCATACGGAAGCTTCAAGGTATTCCGAAAGAAACACAAGTGACCATGGAGGTACTTACATTTATTTTTGTGATGTACATGCACTCGGAACGACCCGTTAGATTGAGCCAGAATAGCTTATGTCCAAGGATTGTTTGGTTACAAAGAATAACACAGGAAGCCTTCTGTTGCCGAACACAGTTCTTAATCATCTTCCGTGGAAACTATTGTGCAAAAACATTTGAGCCGGCCCGTAGCCTTAAGGATCATAAGCCTGTCTTGTAATCCGACAGCGCGGGTTCGAGCCTGCGCAGAGACCGGGCGACCCTCCCAGTATCCTTAGCCCGGGCGCGACTGGTGCTGGCTGCGCGGCAGCGAAGAATCGGCACTGCGTAGCGGCGTACTGCTGATGCCTTTATTTACTTGAAGCAGCAGTTAGAAGCTGTGTTGAGTAGACGCCCTGGGACTGCATTGTGAAAAGCGTAACCTCAATAACGGGGGGGGGGCATGATTTGCGATGAAGTGATCCTCGGCCACTGAAAACTCCGGGACTGCACTTGGAATGCAGAAGTTTTGGTGTTGCTCTCCTTCCCATCATTAGGAGTTTTGCACTTGCTTAGATTCTTTAAATAAATATAACCAGAGCTTGAAGTGGAAGTCAGCACCTGGTGTCTGACAGATGATGCATTTATCACTGGGTTAATGAACTCCGCAGTATTTCAACGACTCTCGGGTGTCAATGGTGAGTGGCACCTTGATGCGACTTACAGTGACTCAATCGGCTGCGTTTTACGGCTGCGACAGAGGGGTGATAAACTGAACTGAAGTGACCGGTTTCCACGAGCATATCAATAGCGGACATTATACTCTTCATGATGGTTGAAGAAATTCAATATTGGCGACGAAACCACAATGCACCAAGTAGTGTCGAAAGATATCGCATTGTGGGTGAATGCAACCATCCCTGGCACTGGGTATAGTCGTCGGATTGGTAATAAAGCATGAAAAATGCCATAGATTAAAAAGCTCAACAGCAAAAACTAGATATTAACTTGTTTTCAACGATGCGACGCTGATGATTTTACGTATAAACGGTAGGAGTTTGACACAAGAAAGTTCACATGGGTTTATACCTGATATCATCCGGGGGTAATTCCATACATCTGGAGGCTAAAAGTTCCGACTTCCGAATCAAATCAAGACCAAACGGCAGGCTATCAAGAAGTGGACGAGGACACCAATCGGTCAGCAAGGACCTGGACAGTGGAAGTCGGCTCCAAGCGTCCAACCAGTGCAAATGGGCGTCATTCGGCAAATCCCATAGTGGTCCGTCAGCTGATACGGCCAATTCGGATAAGGTGGCAAGCAAATTGAAACCATTGATAGGATCTAGCTCCCAAGCAGATGCCCAAAGTGAATTTGTCCCGTCTGTGGCTAAACAGGATGCTCGGGTCCGGAACTGATGATACATTTCTTTGCAAACGAGGTCAAATAATGTGCCAGTCCACAGACAAGGACGGTATACTCGAAGGAACAGATTGGTGACGCATTGTTTGTCCCAGTCGGAAAATTTGTTGGAATAAAACCTATAACGGATGGTATATTAGTATGCACAACCTGCAAACTAACAGCTGTGGTGCGCAGTGAATGAGGCTATGACGAGTAAAAGTAAAAAGGTTGTAAACCTCCAGATCCGAATTTATTGTTAAGTGATGGTTGGTGAGCAGCAAACCAATAATATTAAGATCTACAGTCAAATGGGGCTGATCACAGAACTCCAAGACATCTTACGTGTCAGACTGGCACAGTGATCCTCGAGATTTTGTCAGAATGCAGCTAAATGACATGCCGGTGACCAGAGGCGCAACGAAACCTTATTTGTTGAACGAAAACTGAAAGCAACAAGTTCGAAGCTAAAATTACCAAAACCATTTAGCTTCTTCACAGTGTACAAGCTGTCCTGTAGTAGTGTTTGCATTGAGACCCGAGGATGAGTGTCAGGCCATGTGCTGACGCACCCCATCAGTTCATAACATTCTGCACACGGCAGGAACAAGGCGCTTGATATAAACATACAGATCGACTAGCACAACAAACGATAAATTCTGTGCTGCATGCGGCACGAAAAATTAGCGCATGATCAGTGGTAATCTGGGATGCACCAGATCCGCTGACGAATATACAAAAAAGACATAACTCCGATTCGTGCGCAGGTCACATACTGGAAAGAAAGATCATAGCTAAAGTGTTAATCGGTAGCCTCAGGAATAGGTTCGATTCCAGGTGATGATCGCGTCATGTAGCCCAGGCACCGTCCCCCATAGCTCAGTGGCCTAAGCTGCTGGTTAGTTGGGGTCAGCCTACAGCGGTCATGGGTTCGACCCCAAGTCGGGGAAAGAGGGAATGCGACAGTGAAGAGTTCCAATAGCGTGAAACGCATCTGGTGCTTTTCCGGATTGTGATGGCGCTATGTAGCTTGTGAGCTGTTGGGACGAATACATTAAAAGTTTCACCTCGTAGCTAGCGCTTCTGCGTCCTTACTGCCTCAGTTTTGTTTTTCTGATCCTCGTTCACTATGCAGTGCATTTCACTTTAAACAACGACGATCCAGGAACCGAAGTGCGGCGGAGATATTTGTCAAGACTTGTGTCAACAGATAAAAAATAAGTAACAGTGGTAAGATTCGTTCAGTAAAAACGCAAGCTGAAGGTGGAAAATACCTCAGCTGTGGTGCCGCAATACAAAAGAAAAGAAATAAGTGACAGAGGCACACCGGCTGAGCTACCAGTAACGGATGGACATCATTCCGGAGAGTTAACAGCCGGTCATTGTGCCGCAAGAAATCATATCATGGGTATTAAATGAGATAGTGATTAGACGGGAGGCTAGGCGAAGGGGGGGGACAAAGGAACGCACAGCACAAACGCCACTAAGGTCTGCTCCTAGCCATGTCAACAAGTGTATCTAATCAGACGTGTTCATCTTCTTTTGGTTCCCAAGTAGGGAGCCGAGATGCTCCAACCGAGGACAACGTCGAAGTGAGAGCTTTCATTCCTCCCGTCCATGTCATCGCTTGACCACCTATCCTCCTTTTCCATCCGCACTCCGGCGCTCAAACCAAGCACGCCGCGGACGTCGGTGGGCTGGCATGCGCAACATGTGGCCGAGCCATCGGAGCCTGGTGCGTGAAATAACGGTGTTGGGCGGTTCATTTACTCTTGCTGTGCCACAAACAAGGCGTCGAACACGCTCATTGCTCGCACAGTGTTCCCACCACATGTGAGCCAAACTGCGCAGGCACCGGTGGTCGAATGTGATTAGCCTCGTTATTTTTCGACTGTCCTAATGGGGCAGATTTCACAACTGCACAGTAGAGGGTCGAACGCACGGCTACATTGTTAACCATTCAGGGAGAGTGATGTCACGCATGCGCCACAGGTGACGAAGGTTATCAAAAGCGCCTTCAGTTTTTGCTATACGGTTTGTGACCCGGTCTTCAATTCCAACGGCGCTGATACAATTGCCTAGGCAGTTGAACTTTTGAACGACTTCTAGCTGATCCTCATCAAGGGTCAGCGCAGGAGGCGGTCCCTGCCAAGCTTGAAGGAAAGCTTTGCAGTTTGAGAGTGCAAACCATAGCCCGAAACCGTTGACAGCCAGTGCTAATCTGTCCAATGCAGCTTGGCACGTTTGGGAGCTGTCACAGATGAGGGCAATATCGTCAGTATAGTCCCAGTCAAGAAGTCGTTCGTCTGGGAACAGCTCCACACCTTCTCAGTAGTGTCCTGTGAACGCGATTTCCATGGCTTCGTCAATAACGAAGTTAAAGAGGAAAGGTAAGAGCGGACATCGTTGTCTTACAACGCTGGAGAGGTTGCAGGGCAGGAACAGCCTGCCGTAAGCCCTCACTCTGCTCGAGCTACACGCGTAAACCGCTCGCATAATATTTACATAATTCTCAGGCACACATTTCCTTAGCAGACAGTCCAAAGGGGCACGTTTATCCACCGAATCGAAAGCACATTTAAGGTCGATAAACACGACTACGGTGGGCCGCCAAAATATGTGACGGTGCTCCAACAACTGACGCAAGGTGAAGATGTGGTCGATGCATTCCCGACCACGACGAAACCCGGCTTGTTCTTCACGAATCTGGCTATCAAGAGTGCCATTCAATCTGTGAAAGATGAGAGAGGCAAGCATTTTGGAGGCGATGGTGATCAGACTGATTCCTCTATGATTGCCGCATTCCGAACGCGAGCCTCCTTTGAAGATCGGGACAATAACAGATCGGCTCTAGTCGGTTAGGGCAATTTCCTGCTGTAAGTTTCATCAGTAATTGGTGTAGATCATCAATAAGAGCAGGGCCCCCGAAGTTGAAGAGGGCTGGATGAAGAGCATCTGGTCCCGCAGCTTTACTCAACTTCAACAGTCCGAACTCACGTTCAACTTCTGAGAGAGAGGGCGAATCCAAATGGACAGCCTATGGAGCAGGGCGAGCAATGGACGGTGAGGAATCGAACAATTCCGACGGATTAAATTGCTTTTCAAAATGCGCAGCCCAAAGATCCAAACGTTTTGACAATGGTATGAATGTGTGAATGAACGCAAAAAGAACACAAAAAAGAGATCAGGACAAAAGTTCGCAAAATTAATCGAGAAATGAACTAAAAGCAAAGACACCACTAACTGCCCGAATGCACCATGTATGACGGGATCTTCAACCACTGCTGTGGACCATTCCAAGGCCCCCCCATCCATGAAGACGGCACGCACTAGCCTGATCAAGTTTTTAACTCGTATACAAAGCCCATGGAAAGGTAAAAACACAAGGTTGCAAGGAAATCTTCTTTCGGCCATTCACATCAGGCAATTAGAGTTACAGGACAGATGAAGGCAACAGTAGGCTGATGAAGGGATAAGTGAGGCCGGATGGGAAGGTATGAAAAGAATTAGCACGCTCGTTCGATGCTCAAATCGATGTAATCAGATGACATCGTGACAGGACTAAAAGACGTGTGCAGCGAAACAAAATGTGTAAACGAAAGGGGTAAAAATATCAACTAAGTAACTAAATAAATAAATAGCACTCGGTTTTGCGTAACTTCGGGGGAACGACTTCTCGTCACGGCCAGCGTAATGTCAAGAGTTGCACAAACACCCTGTGCTTGTATAACTCTGGCTGTGTTAGCCTGATCGCGATCGCTTTAGCCGTCAGCAAGAGGTGTTTCCTCGACCATTCCGGGTATCGCCTCAATACGGCATAGTAGACCTTGAAGGCATTTTCGGCCAACATTTGATGCCCACTTTGAAGCAAATGTTCCAAGATGGGACTGTTGATACTTCTGAGCATGCCTCTTCGCAGTGACGCTGGACAGTGCTCAGTCATCCGTACTGACAGACGCCTGATCGTATGTCAGAGTTACCTGGCATCACAGGTGCAAGTAAAATGGTAAACAATGTACGCTTCGGGCGAAGTTGGCCATCTGTCTATAAGACGTTTGGCTAGAAAGAGTGTGATCGCCGCTACGGGTCATGGCGTGCTAAGTGATGAACGGTTCAAAGTAACCTTTCGAAAGCAGTGTTTTCAAAATTCGGTCCTTCTCATCCTCGAGTGTTTCCAGACTACAAATATTGGTGGCCCGGTAATACAACCAACGCACTAAGTTGCGTTTGTAGTTCAGAGGGCTAACCCATGTAACCTTGCGGAAGACACCGTTTAAGTGAGCCAGCCTCGCACCTCCTCAAGAAATCGTCCAGAAACGCCAGCTTACCTTCATTCACTATTTTACTAGTGAAATTCATTGAGCGATGTGTAAATGGTTGACATCAATGTAAGAATCACATATGACAGAAATGTCACCCATATACCTCCAATAAGAATCAAATGAGGTAATAACCAGTTGGATGATACCACGCTCAAGGTTTGCGAGAAAGACGTCTGCAAGGAGGGGTCCAAGGGGGACCCCATCGCCACGACATCGACTTGCCTAGAACAGACCCCGTCAAACGAGAATTGTCTATTAAAGGTACACCGCAAAATAAACTCTTTAAGCTTAGGCACTGGAATGCCAAGGTTTAGGTTCCTTTTCGGTATAAACTCCAAATCATATATTTCCAAAGCATTTCGAACTCACAAAGGAAATTAACAATTTCCAGCAATGGGGCGCTTGTGAAAAGTGATTCTACATCAAAAGAGAGCATCCGTTTGCCGTTAAACTTCAGGTCCTTAACTTTAGCAAAGAATTCAAACGAATCCTTCAAAGAATGGATGGAGAGCTCCTTACGTACAGGTTTCAACAACTGCACAATCCATTTCGCAACTAAGTGGTGTGTAGAAGCGGACATGTTAATTATTGGACGTAGAGGGACCTATGGCTTGTGTACTTTAAGCAATCCGTAGCGCCGAGGAGGATGGGAGCCAATTGAAGTTAACTGCTGAAGCTGAACATCGGTTATCAAGTTAATCTGTTTTCATGATCTTTGTAAACTCTGCTTCATCGTTTGTCGACTGATCAAGTTTTCCAGTTAATTTTTCATGCCCTTATGCGACGTCATCGACTGGCCACCTTGCGGCTTGGTCCAAATTGGTGTAGCAAGGACGTATGGTGCATGATGAGGAAGCCGGTCAACGGATATATAGGAGGGCAAGCCCTAGCTAACGTAAGCGGTTAAGATTCAGCAAACTCCCGAAGTAAGGCACCAGAGGTCATCTAAGCAAAAAACCAACTGGCGGACCTCAGCACTGCACATCCGATGTTCCAACCAGATGTGAGCAATACTTCGCAAGCACCGGTGATAGAACAAGGACAATCCTTTAATGTCTAGTGCGAACTGGTTAGGTTTCTGATCAGTACAGTAAGAGGGGCCTAATCGCAGCGTTATAGGACCTACGTTTTACTGACAGGCTAGCGATCCGGCACCTCCATAGATGGTTGAATTCCAGTAAAGCCCACGCGGAGTTTGCTGCTAGGCGAAGTAAACTCCTCGTCGATAGAGAGAACTGTTGCAGAGATTTGAAGTTTGATGGTCTGAAATTTCATCGTAGTGAAGAGAGCGAAATACAAGAGCGCACTGTGTTCCATTAAAAAGCGACAGAGTTTTACGTCGATGTGCACCGCCTGAGACTGACGGCAAGGTGCTCACTTTGGGCCTCATCCGTACAATTAGCATCGAGTAACGGAAAGCAAAAGCTTACAATAGGAACTGACGAGCTCCAACAGGATGAAACAACTGTCTGGTACTGTTCCAGATTGGTAACAGGCTATTTGGACTGTAATCTATTTCGATGGTCGCGCAGCATAATTTAACTGGAAATCTCCAAACCTATGAGTGGTCGTAAACCTTTGGTGGGTGGTTCCCAAATCCCGTTTCTCCAACCAGTTAAAAGATTTGCAGATGCTTTGGCCAAGATAATTCTGTGCGCCATGATAGTTGGTGCATCAATAAGTATCATACGAAGTAAAGTAAAATCACAGGTGACCAGTAAAGCATTAAATCTGCAGAATTACTCAAACAAAATTTAGCATGGGATAGGAGTCAGGTCAGTCAGTCAGTCACTCATCATCATCGGCAATACACGTTAGTTGAGGGTGAAAAACATACCTCAGCTAATGTGCCGCAATACAAAAAGGATAAAAGATTAAACATCGGATTAAAAAACCTAAAACAGTAACATAATGCTAAAATGACAGTATGCATTAGATTGAGATCGTGGTTGGAGGGAGAAGCTAAAAGGGATGGGAGGGACAAAGAGACTCACGACACAAAGGCCACTGAAGTGGGATTCTCGCCTTGTCAGGTAGTGGATCCAACGAAACGTGTTCATAGTCCTTTTGACCGCGGCCCGGCAGTCAGGAAACATCAACCGACGCGAAGTTCGAAATCAGAGACTACATTCCTCAAGAGCAAGTCATCGCTTGTCCTCCCGCTTCCTCCATTCAGACCGCAGGCGCGCAAATAACGCACGATGCGGGAGTCTGTGTTATCATGCGCCACACGCGGCCCAGCCGGCGGAGCCTGGTGCGTGATATAATGGTGCTGAGCGGTTCACTAGCTCTTCTTGTACCAAATACGCGACGCTGAACACTCTCACTGCTCACGCGGTGTTCCTACCAGACATGAGCTATGCTGCAAAGGTAGCGATGGTCGAACGTAACTAGACTCTTTATGTCGGCTGATCTAATAGGTCAGGTTTCGCGACAGCATAAGGATGAACAGACGGCAGCATCGTAAACTGCCTTTCAGAGCGAAAGTGATTTCACGCCAGCGCCACAGGTGGCGGAGATTGGTAAAAGCACCGCGAGCTTTCGACATACGGGCGCGAATGTAGCTTAAATTTCTAGACGACTGCTAGCTAGTTAGTGGCCGCCAAGTGTTCAAGGAAGTGCAAATCGGACTCTTCAGTCTCAGTGATTGCACAGTGAGGAAATCAACCGGGGCTTGCAACCCTTCGCAGTGGTGGGTACGAATACAAATATGCAACTAATTTCAGGATAGACCTCAAAAACCCGATGGGTAGCAGATGATTAGGATAGCTGACCGGGTGAGTAACTTACCTCGACAAAGTCTGGACTAGGTCACGTGATTGGCTGGATAATTTGTGAGTCTTCTTGTAGGTGTCAATGTTGTGCACCAACTGACTGCCACCGTATTGAAGAGCGAGCGTGTCTCCATGTTCGTCGTACAAATTCTGGAACATGATATGTACACAAGAACGAACTCGACTGAGAGAATTGAATTAACTGGTCACATCCATAGGCGTCGGTAAGTTGGGAGGACCTCGTGCAAATACATACAGGGAGAGAATCAGACAGCACATTGCAGGAAGTGACAAAACTAAGATTACGCACATGAGCTTTGAACCTAATCTATGGAGAATTTGGCGCTTCCAGCACGCAGACAGACAGTCCCCGATGTATCCGAAAAAAACACCAAAGTCGTAGAGGGCACGAACTCGATTCATGGTAGTCAGGCACTACGGATGAGGTCCAATGGGGCGAAACGGTCGTCCAGTGCCTGCCGGATGCGCTGGAGACCGAGAGGGAGTTAGGAGGATTAATCGGCATTTTTGTGTCCCGTGTATGAACGCCAAGGAAGTAGCGACCTAGTTAAAAACGATGTACTAGGCAACATTCGGATAGAATGATGGGCGACTACAGTGCCAAAAGAGTCAGTTGACACTCCAGATGAAATATGCAGCTACCATGTTTCGCTCAGTAAACAGTTGTGGAAGCAGTGTTTACCTGTACACTCGCGTTAAGGATGAACCAAAAAGAGACCAACTTCCAATATTGCTTGCAACTGAGATTCTGCAGTTGGCTCAGCATAGCTCACTGATGTGTTTTACTCAGTCAAAGCAAAGCATTTCGTAGTAGACGAGGAGAACATCACCATGGACGATCGACAGAGTTTCGACGCTTACTAAACAAATAAAGAACAAAACCAGCAATGGTTAAAACCTCATCTGTAGTGAACATGCGAAAGAAATTTTGGTTCAGAACACGCAAACGTAGAAGTAAACCTTGGCTAGTTTGTTCACTGCGATCGTGAAACGAACAAATATTAGCCGTTGACCACTCGATAAAGTACACTCCCACCACTCACCGATCGGAAACCAAAAGGTAAATGCGTCAATTGTGTCCCCAATGCGACCTGGATCCGAGTAACGCGTTAGACAAATATAAAAGTTTCCTACTACAACCAAGAAAAAAACAACCCAGGAAAACGCATTCTACCGAAAAGCAATAGGCTGTTGTGTGGTTGCAAGTGAACAAATCAATGTAGTGACGCGAGGGATGAAAACAACAGTTGGCAAGTGTACCTGCAACAATCGATCAATCTTCGAATCGGACACGATCACTGGTTCCGAAATGAAGCCGAGATTGTGCAGTTGATAGGCAAGCGCAACGCGTCCCACGACAAATTGCGCTGTGTTAGTTCGATCGAGGCAATCGATACAATTTGTCCGAATCACCCCGCATTGATGAGGACTATCCAAGGGATCAAGGGGTATGGGACAAAAATGTGACAAAATAGGAAGATGACATACAGGGTGAAAACACAAGATGTCGAGGTGCTTCGGTATGCATACTGGAAAATAGGTCAGAAGAGAATGTGCATCGCAAATATTGTGCGCAATGACCAAGTAGTCAACACGAGAAAGACAAAAATAGTGTTCAAATCAAGTCAAAAAGTGCTTTAGGCACCCACGAAAGGCGAATATTCAGATGCAACGCATATGCAGGACATGGATGCTTAGCGAAAGAGGATACGTATAAAACAGCAATTGATGATAAAAGGCAGAAAAGGGGAAAATCACTGAAGTAATTTATCAGCCTGTTCTTGATAAATAAGATTTGGAGCAGCCAAAAAACGTGATAAGGGACTGCTGACGTACAGTAGACTGGTTTAAAGGCACGTATAGTTTTGTATGTCGACCGGTGGCCGAAAGGCTTGCGCGCATGGCTTGCAAACTTTAGGTCACCGGTTCAAATCCGCGTTGGCGTGGGCCTCCTCGCCGTATACTCATCAAACGCGCGACCTGTGGTGGTCACGTGGCAGCAAAACGTCGGTACAATCTCCTGGCGTACTACTGATGGCTTTACATATATATATATGTATATGTATATGTATATATATATATATATATATATATATATGCCCCTTGCTGAGGCTGATGCTGCATTCATGATGCGTCTTCACCGCAGTTGAGCTAAACCAACTTACACTTAAACTAGGTCTTTTTAACGTGGATAAAATTCATTACATGTTATTTGGTTTGTTCTGCGTACTTGATAATCTTCTCCTTACTTGCACACGTCGCTCACGCAAATTGTGGTAAACTTGCGTAATTTTATCGCTTGGTATTTTTTACGTAAATGTCGGACATTTTGTACTTATCACGGATTCACTTATAACCAATTTCTTCTATATGCTCATTTAGCGAATATTTATGTCGTCATATGCGTTTACTTTATTCGATATCGGCATTTCGAATGATTGGCTGTTGTTTGATATCCCCGGTGTGGCTGCGCTTGATGTGCATGTTGACAAGGTGCCTACCTGTCTATTACCCATTACCTCGTCCATACTGGCTCCAGGAGACAGTTGGTCGTCGCTGGAGGGGACGGGGTGCACGGTCCTTGTGGTCGTGCTAGGCTCGAAGAGTGGTTCCATGCATTCAGATGTTACCGATCTGGTTTTACAGAAATTGATGCAGCTAAATTTTCAAGGGACCAGGAGACAATATTCGCATGACCTCTAACTATGGACCGATTTGGTAGGGAAGTAGCTCCCAAAGGGACCGGGGGCACTACCCAGTATAGCTTAATGAGTCGCACCAAGTCAACCTCAGTCTCGTGATAGAATAGAAAATTCGTTTAAAAGGACACTGGCTAAATATTGGCCGATAGCGATCAGCTACGGGCAAACTCGTTATCGCGAAGAGACTGGACCTCCGTGATCACTGCAATGAAATGAGCTGGTTGGTATTTTCTTAGTGACGCTAGTCACTCATACTAATAAAACTAATGGCTCAAGACCACGTAAACTTGGCGAAAACATCCACTTCACAAAGATCGGTGTAGGTGAACATGCATGATGACTGCTAAATTGGATTCATTTTGAAAACTTAGGAGTTTCTAGTCATGTATGAACAATGGACAACAACAGCTGATGTGATAGCTATAAAAGTGCGTCACAGACTTCGAACAAGGTAAATGAAACAGTTGAACACCGGGAGCAGAAAGAACTGTGATGTAATGGCTCACCTAACTCCGGAGGATACGCGGTGAGAACCGCGACGATTGAAAGAAGAAATGAAAATACCCGTGCGACGTACACATGTGTCGACGACCGGAGTGAGTTGATCCAATGCAACCAAACGTTTGCTCTTCTGTACGCGAGCGATGTCAAAAGCAATGTATACGATTGGTGGATTCTTTTCGTCCACAGGCTCTGGATCAACGGTGGCAGTTTTATCGATCGGAATATGCGAGGGAAGGAACTGTGAGATGCAGAGGAGGAGAACTGCGGGAATAAGATGGCGATTCAACCCAGTTAAAACAAAGAACAGGGCTTAAGCAGTACATCGACACGTCGTTTGACAGTTAGTTCGTATGAAACTAGCACCGGTCGCGCGCGTGCTAGAGACAGCATAACCGCCCGCAACGACGCAAATTCAAAATTGCTGGTCTATTGATTACTTCGAACAGTACACTATACGTAACGACGAGAGTCCGAAGAGAGGGGCGGGAAAATGCGAAATGCATACGGTTTGCTGTAACGGGACTGTGCACAAAACGTGGAGTCTTGCAGACGGAACAGGGGATTGTAAGCACCTACCTGAGACAAATACACCAGCCCACGTTCGTAGCCTTCGGATAAAATTTGCTCGAAAGGTCGCTTTTCCCGCATCTTCATGAGGTTTAGCACGACGATTGGTGAACCGTAACGGCTCAAGAGGTCGGAGAAATGAAGCCCAAAAGCTTCATAAAGGGGATCTTCTCGCTGAGAGCATGGAAGAAAGTAAATAGAGAAGCGAGGCAGTTCCTTTGAAGCATAGGGAAATCGCAAATACACTCCGCCCAATCCATAAAAACCAGACGAAACACATCACTAAAAACATAGTGGATCCTTTGTTGAACGCTCCTTTCACTAGACACAAGGTGATAAAACTGGAATAACTGAATCACCTCTAGCTGGTTATGACGGCTTCTTTCGCAACGAACACGTTGTGCGTCGTCGATGATGTAGTTGCACGTCAGATCGACGATCTTTGGGAAACCTTCCGAAACTAAGCAGATGTTCGCATGGTCTGAGAAAATAAAATTAAACCAGATTCGTCTGCAATCCCATAAACCTCTGTGCCCCTTGCAAGTGATTGCGACGTGATCAATATGAGAACAAGGTTGTTGGTGAATGGGGGGCTGCAGGAAGCTTCATCGGATTTTTGAAGTTGGTGCTAGAAAAAACAAACGACTGCCTAAAAGCAGTGCGAGAAACCTGTTCCCATTAGCTGAGCGGTCGGCATCGAGCAACTGATGAGTACGAACGCAACCACTATTTGAAAATGAGCGATCGACTGGTAGGCTTAAACCTGTTTCGAATGATAAGTGGCAGAGCATTGTGTAAACACCGTGAAGCCGCACTTAAACGGCTCTCGCTTTGCCCTCTGTGGCCACTCTAAATCCCCAACAAAATACTGCGGGTGCGATCGTCCGAACCAGTTCGACGAGCTCTATTCAGTGCTTCCAACTCTTAAATCTAACCTGTGTGGATCATATTCTAACTCCAGTTCCCAGTTAGGAGTACATTAATGGATGTCAACTTCGTGTTAGTTTTTAAGCCGGCCGTTAGCTAGCCGGCCATTAATCGTTTTTTGGTTTATGAATTTCAGTCAAGTTGCATGGCATTATTGAGCGTTCCTGAACAGATGTTTCACTCATGCTGTGCTCTGTCATGTCATGTCCCGTGGGCGCTGTTGTGTCGGTCTCTCCGCATGACTGTGCCGATAAAGAATTTGCAGCGTTTGCAAGTTCCATCGAATGGCTTACGACTTTTGGCCCTTGACCTGCTGCCTTTACCCTGATCTCTGTCAGCAACCTAGCGCGAAACTTTAACCAACTGTCTAGCAGAACTTGCGTCATTCCCTCGGAGTGTAATATTACTTTCAGTAGTCTTTGACCGCAGCCCTTGTAGTTAGGTGATGACGGAACTCCTGTCAGGGATTTGGCAATAACACTGTCAACAGAGAGTGCTTCGCGAATGTAGCACCACTGCTCTCAGTCATGTGTTTGTGCATCGTGCTCAGAAGAATGCAGAAGCTCGGGAACACCATGAACAAATATTGTTTCCTTGCTATGCCTCTTAGGAATGCCGCGTTGGTCAACTGCTTCTTCTGGGCGATCTTTCCAAGGTAGATCAGGTAATATGCGCACTCCGCTCGGTGAGTTGCGAAGACGAACTGCTGAGAGCAGGACAGCCTCTGTCGCATCTGCTGAGTCTAGTGTTACTCGAAGAATTCGGGGTTCTCCAGAGTGCACTGAGGTCGGGTGCCGCGCTACGCGTTGCAGCATTGCAGGCTCAACCCGAATACAAGTCGCCTCGCATATGGAATTCCACCGGTTACGATCGTCTTGGAACTTGCCTCTTATTGTGCCAGATTTAGACTCGGGAACATAGGTGCACACGAGAGTTAACGAAGCTTGATTTTGTCTAGCGAGTGTCGATTTTAAAGTTGTTGCTGGTAATTTGGGTTGTTTAGAAGGCACAACTGTAGTTGACGGTGAAAGCTGCTTTGCGCCACGCGTGCTCCGTACGGAAGATGGACCTATGTGTATTGTTCCCGGTGTGTTTGTCGTGGCAATCGATGCGTGTGTTACCTGCTTGTTATCTGCACCGGATTTCCTTTAGCTCTGAGCTGTCTGTGTCATGGCTGAATCTCCAGGTGAAGCGTCTGTGGTTGGAGAAGTGGAAGCAGGCATGTTTGAGGCTTATGGGATTGAGGTGCCTTAGTAAATTTAGAGTCACAGACGCTACAGTGTGGTTGGAGCGTCTAGCTCTCTTCTTCGGCTTAGATTCGGAGCTTAGTTTGACTGGGTGAGATATTATATTGGTCATATTTACCTCCGTGGGGTCGATCTTCGTATTCACAAAATGCGCGATTATCTCAGTCATCCTATCGCACTTTTTCATGAGCAGAGATAAACAGTTGACAACTGGAATGACTTGACATGTTGGGCAAAACCAAATTGCGTCAGCAAGTTTGTTTATCTGTCTCACTTCTTGGACGGATTTGCCTACACATTGCGGACAGTATGATCGAATACAGCTAGAACAAGATTACGCTGATCTCAATGACGTTACTGCAATTGTCTGCGCAACATAGGCGACGTTGAACCATTGGAATGCTAGTCGTCCTCTTATCGTTTACAGCAAAGCCTATCTAGGCGTTAACCTTGATGAGAGTTCTTTGCGCCAGGCATGACGCACAAACACCTCAGAACACGCACACGAATTGAGAGTTTCAACTGATAAAATATCCCGGGAGTAGACATCAGAACAAATGTTAGCGAACAAGCTCGTTTTCCGTGGTTCCTCATCAGGCTAATACAACACAAATGAATGACATGAACGTAAACATCAGTTAAGAGTACAGGTTCAAAACCCAGATGGTCTGAGTGACCAAGCTAGGCGATTGGCCACACGGAGATCAATAGTTTGTTTTTGTGTGTGTGGCGTTGTCCACACTATGTATCCGTGTTACAGGGGACCAGGGTAGAGTTAGTGCCTGGACAAATTTCTTGTGTGCACATAGGTCAGGGTCATGAAGCCTGAGGGCTATCGCCTCGGCCGCTGCCAGTAGACGACATTTAACCGCTCTTGTGTGACATCTGGGTACGCGATAGATGGGCTGGAACGCCTCATGCGCTCTGACTTGATGACTCGAGTCGATCAGGTGTGTAGACACTGCGCTTGCCACTGATCTAGTCACGCTGCTATACAGCCAAGCTGGACAGTGTTCCCTGGCTCTCTCGGACAGTCTCCTGGTAGTTCTTCCGATATATCTTGCTCGACACGAGCAAGAGAAAGAGTATACACAGAATGAAGTACTAGACATTGGAATTCTGTCCTTAAGTTGTGGATTCAGGGTCGGCACTGAGTAGAAGCTTAGCCGTAGGCTTGCTGTACAGTACGTTTGGGCGATTGCGGCAGAAAGCCTTCTAGACGTTGATTCAGCTATCCCGTCCCCCTTGAACGGTAACGATAAGTAGATCGGTTTCTTTCCTACTGAATCCACTTTTGCCTTCGCTTCTCGTACCTCCATGTTTCTCGGAACGAACCTCTCCGGATAGTCATTTCTATCGAATAGGCTTCGTACAAAGTTTAGCTCGTCCGAAAGCATATCCTCGCTACATATCCTTCTTGCTCGCTCGGTTAGGCACCGAACAAGTTTCCGTTTCTGGCTGAGCGGGATGAAGCTGGCAAAGTGAGTATATTGCCCATTCCACGTTGTCTTTCTATGGACACTGCGCTGGACTGACCCGTCAGATCTTCGGCTAACCTGAAAGTCTAAGTGCGAGCTTGAGTTGCTGCACTCAGATTCAAGGGGGAATTATATGTTTGCGTTGGTTGAGTTAAATTGCCTCACTAATTCATCCGTGCATAAATGACTATCTGAGCTGCAGAATATTTCGTCCATATACCGTCCGTAGTAGACTAATTTGTCGATAACTCCGTTTAGATAGTTGTTCTCTGATTTACTCATAAATACGTCTGCTAGCAATGGTCCTAACGGAGAGCCCATTGCGACTCCGTCCTTCTGTCAGTAGATCTTCCCGTCGAACAGGAATTGTACGTTCCTGGTACACATTAGAAACAACTGTTTAAGTCGCTCGTTCGAGAGGCCGGCATCCACATGGTGCAATCGAACAGCGTCGCAAAGGTAGTCTATTGTCTCCTCCAACGGAACATTAATGAAAAGTGACACTACATCTATAGAAAACATTTTCCTTTCGGTTAACTGCATATGGCTTATGGAGTCTACGAAGCTGAATGTATCTCTGAGGCTGTGTTTGGCTAGGACTTTTCTGATCGGTTCTAGAAGCTTAGCGAGCCATTTCGCTGTTGAGTGATACGGAAAATCACACATGTCTAATATTGACCTCAATGGAAGTCTTTCTTTATGTACTTCCGGTAAGCCATAAAGACGTGAAATCACTGCGCTGGAGGGACGCGTGTACTCGAAAACCACTGAGTCAATTGCATTCTCTTGCTTCAGGCAGCGTAGTAGCTTTGTGACTGTCTTTTCTATCGAGACCGTTTTGTCTTTCTTTGTCTCCATCATCCGAAATTTCGAATGATCGTTGAGGATGGCTTTCATTTCTAAATTCCGGATAATGGAGACAAAGAAAGACAAAACGGTCTCGATAGAAAAGACAGTCACAAAGCTACTACGCTGCCTGAAGCAAGAGAATGCAATTGACTCAGTGGTTTTCGAGTACACGCGTCCCTCCAGCGCAGTGATTTCACGTCTTTATGGCTTACCGGAAGTACATAAAGAAAGACTTCCATTGAGGTCAATATTAGACATGTGTGATTTTCCGTATCACTCAACAGCGAAATGGCTCGCTAAGCTTCTAGAACCGATCAGAAAAGTCCTAGCCAAACACAGCCTCAGAGATACATTCAGCTTCGTAGACTCCATAAGCCATATGCAGTTAACCGAAAGGAAAATGTTTTCTATAGATGTAGTGTCACTTTTCATTAATGTTCCGTTGGAGGAGACAATAGACTACCTTTGCGACGCTGTTCGATTGCACCATGTGGATGCCGGCCTCTCGAACGAGCGACTTAAACAGTTGTTTCTAATGTGTACCAGGAACGTACAATTCCTGTTCGACGGGAAGATCTACTGACAGAAGGACGGAGTCGCAATGGGCTCTCCGTTAGGACCATTGCTAGCAGACGTATTTATGAGTAAATCAGAGAACAACTATCTAAACGGA